TGAGACTCTGTCTCAAAAAAAAAAAAAAAAAAAAATCCCTGAAAAACATAAGGTTTTCAGTGCATTTTATTTTAACAAAGTTGATGCTGGGTTAATAATTGTGAAATCTATTTCAAGGATAATCGTAAATACAAACGCTTACTCTATGTCAGATTTCATGGTATAAACTTTACAAATCTACACTATAATTCATTTAATCCTCTCAGCAAGCCTACCAAGTAGGTATTATTATCTTATTTTACAGGTGAGAAAATTAAGGCTCAAAGAAGGGGGAAAAACTCTCCCTAGATCACACAGCTAAATACATGAAATGCCACATACAGATTTTCCTGACTTCAGTACATGCCTTAACCACTAAAATTTAAGTTTTGCTGTATTTTCAGATAGACATAGGAGGACTTTTGCAAACATCCTCCAAGTAAAATTCCATCAGTAACTTAGCTAAAAATGTTATTCAGGTTAAAACGTAAGTAATTTTTACCATACTATGAGAGAATTAACAAATGTAATTTGGCTAAATTTTATATTATAGAAAAGCTGCACGAACAGCCCAGGTATTACAGGCACTGTGCATTACAGATTAAGATAACAACATTAATGATTCCGGTCATCTTGACCATACATTAAAGAAAACATTCTTTAAAGATATAAAATCCCACATGGATACAAGCAACAACCAACTGTTCTAAGGACAAGAATAATTTCTAGAAATGAAACGCCCATCCAGTGGACCTGGGGTTCAGTCTCATCTCATGTACTTCACTGTCCTTGTATATGTAACTAGCTGTACCTATGGCATTATCTCAACTTACACCTTCCACTCATCCATCATGACCAAGGTTAATCTCCTCCTCTTACCCCTTTAAAGCCCCTAAACCTCCATCTCTTTTCCCTAAGCAAAGTGAAATCATTTCCCTAGTCTGCTTACACTGGCACACCTTTTATTATTAGAGTGCCTATTAAATTTAAATCTTCACCATACATAGTGATTTCCCTTAGCAACTTCAATTGTTTCAGCAACTTCAGAAAGGTAGATTAAAAACAAAACAGGACTTGCAAATAAACCCAGCCCTTACTACTGTGTGATCTTGGGCATTTATTTGTCCAGCAATCTTCATATATCTTACAGGTAACACCTAGCAAAATATCCCATAGATAAAGCCACCTTCCCCCTAACCAAAATGTGTGTAAACTGTCTTTAATGTTTTGTTGAATGAAAGACATTTCCTACAACTGATTTATAACATGCTTCCCGAACTGATTCAAAAACTACTGACAAGGTTCCCCATTGGAAAATCAGACTGACTTTCACTTAATAGGTTATACACCATGGTCAATAGACATATAATTTATTACTCAATGTACTGAGCACTAAGGTACTCAACAGTGCCCAAAGAGAAGGGAAAGCCAACTATTTATAACTTTGAAACGGAAACTGAGTTCGCGTCTCTAATAAAAAGGTCACATCTCTAATAAAAAGGCCTACTGAAGCTCACTGCATAAAGTTTGTTCATTCTCTCTCTCCTTAAACTGCTAATTTATGGCTATGGCAGGCAGAATAATGGTCTCCCAAAGATAACCACATCCTAATCCTGGAAACCTGTGAATATTAGTTTACACAACAAAGGAGAATTAAGGCTGCTAATCAGCCAACCTTAAAATAGTGAGATTATCCTAGATTATCTAGGTGGGCCCAATGTCATCAATCACAGCATTCTTACAAAGCGGAAGAGGAAGGAGAGTCAAGGAAGAATATGTGATGAATGCCAGAAGTAGGGTCAAAGTGATGCATGTAAGAACTAGACCTGCCTTTGCGGGGTTTGGAGATGAAAGAAGGGATCAAGAGCAGCCTCTAGGAGCTGGAAAAGCCAAGAAAAGAGATTCACCTCTAGAGCCTCCAAAAACGAATGAAACTTGGCCTACACTTTAATTTTAGCCCACTGAGACCTATGTCACTTTTAACCTCCAGAACTGTAAGGTAAAAAATGTGACGTTTTATGCCACAAAGTTTGTGGAAATTTGTTACAGCAGGAATAAAAAACTAAATGTTTTGGGGTGTTTTTCCTACATTAACTTCTTTAGAGTCCTTTGAGTCACAATGGAGATACACTGGGAAATTACAAAATCAAGTTTAAGAATCTCTAATGGAGAGTGAGAGACTTCGGTGGACATGGCTCCCAGCGTGCCAGCGGCAGAACCCGAGTATCCTAAAGGCATCCAGGCTGTGCTGCTGGGGCCTCCCGGGGCCTGTAAAGGCACCCAGGCACCCAGATTGGCTGAAAACTTCTGTGTCTGCCATATGGCTACTGGGGACATGCTGAGGGCCATGGCGGCTTCTGGCTCAGAGCTAGGAATAAAGCTGAAGGCAACTATGGATGGTGGGAAACTGGTGAGTGATGAAATGGTAGTGGAACTCATTGAGAAGAATTTGGAGACCCCCTTGTGCAAAAATGGTTTTCTTCTGGATGGCTTCCCTCGGACTGTGAGGCAGGCAGAAATACTCGATGACCTCATGGAGACGCGGAAAGAGAAGCTTGATTCTGTAATTGAATTCAGCATCCCAGACTCGGCTGATTCACCCCAAGAGTGGCCGTTCCTACCATGAGGAGTTCAACCCTCCAAAAGAGCCCATGAAAGATTGCATCACTGGGGAACCCTTGATTCGTCGATCAGATGATAATGAGAAGGCCTTGAAAATCCGCCTGCAAGCCTACCACACTCAAACCACCCCACTCAGAGTACTACAGTAAACAGGGGATCCACTCTGCTATCGATGCATCCCTGATCCCTGATGTCGTGTTCGCAAGCATCCTAGCAGCCTTCTCCAAAGCCACATCCTAGTATCAGAAGGCCAGACGAGACTACACCACTGCTCATCAACCCGCGGCGTGATCCCTGCTCTTAGGTGCTGGGCAGAAGGGAAGGGTGGTCAGGGTGAGGATGGTGAGGGAGGGCTGGTGAGGGGCTCAGAAGAATACTGGGAACAACAGCAGTGTTATTGTAGTGTGGCAGTTTCTTTTATACATAGGTGCGAGTTTTTAAAGTGTAAGGGAAAAATTAATTTTTAAAAAAATACCATGCTTGGAGGGTGGGGGTAAAAATAGAGAGATACAGTATTGTTTCTAAGGAATCGGGTTTTCATTTACTCTGGACTGGTGAAAATATTTTTTAAAGCCAGTGCACTAAGACGTCAGCTTTTATCTCAGAACCCCATGGGTTCCAGACCAAGAGTACAGGAAATCAAATTGTTGTCCTGTGTGTCTATAGCTTGCAACAGGGAGGCTTTGATTACTGACCCTGGTTCCACACACTGTAAGATCAAAAAACCGTCTCCACATTTGAAAGAGACGTAAGGTGTACTCACAGGGATGGTGGCTCAACAAATCAAGCATACTGGAATCAAGGGGAGGGGGAAGGGAATGGAATGGAAAGGGAGGCTGATTCCCTTCCCCTGACTTACCACTGATTTACTAGGCTACCTACTCTCATGAGTAACCTCTCACAGTACCCAGCACATGCCAGTCCAATGCTTCTTTTATCTGCAGTGTGTGAAGGGACTCTTTTAAATAAATGAGCAAGTGTCCTAAGCTATGTCATCCAAAGATTGTCCTTTCCATTATCAAATCCTGTGACTGGGATCACTCAACAGCACTGTGATGTGTTATTTTCAATGAGGTACCTTTCTTAACTGACCAAATGCTGCTTTGTTTGGCCCCTAAATCAATAAAATGTTAAAATTTGTAAAAAAAAAAAAAAAAAAAAAAAAAATTACTATAATGGAATGGGGAAACATTTCATTGTACAAAACTTAAAATTTGGAAGGAAAAGTGCCACCACACAAGATCACAAGATGGCATACTTCTAGTATGGCTAAGTAGACACTGTCAGGGCAAACCATTGAATAACTATAAACTCTGGACAAAATATTTTATAAAAACAAAAGCTTTCTGAAGGCCCTGGGGAACAACCAAACAGGCAGACACAGAAGGGGAGTCTACATGCATAAAAAGCCAATGAGGTTTCTGTTTTTCCTTTACATCTTTTAGCCTGAAGGCAGGCCTCACTTAGAGTTTAGAACAACAACAGACATGGTCAAGTGGGAAATCCCAGAAAAGGAAGAGTCAGAAAGGGGGAGGGAGTCCTATACATTCGCTATATAAATTCTACGGAAATCTCTGGCTGAACCCTGAACCATGCATGTACATGCTGCAGACTCCAAGGAACCTAGCTAAAAGAACAGAACCAATATTTGATCTGCTGCCCACAAGGGATATGGATAGCAACAACAAAACACACTATTTGGAGGAATAAAACAGGATCTAGAACCTCTACAACATTATCATTCACAAAATTCAGCATACAATCCAAAATTGTTCGACATATGGGAAACAAACAAAAAAGGAAAACACATTTTCAAGAAGAAAGAATCAACTAGAAACTTCAGGACAGCTATAATCATGCTTAAAGACATAAAGGAAAATATCCTCAATGAATGAAAAAGTATACAATACAGATGGTCCCTGACTCACAATGGCCTGTCGTGCAATTTCCCAACTTTAAAGCATGATGAATATTCAGCATGCTCCTCGATTAAGTCCAGATAACCCCACTGTAAATTGAAATTTACATACTTTCAATTTACAGTGGGTTTAATCAGGATGTAATCTCAGTGTAAGTAAAGGAGTATCTGTAATTGAAAATGCCACCACAATCCTCTCACCTTCAAAACTACAGTAGCAGCTTGGGAATGAGGCAGTGGTAAGTTCTAAAGTGGCATCAACATTACAGAAAAACCATGGGCAATTACTGAAGAAGGGAATAAACTTATTCTGATTATCTATTACTCCATAATTTATAACTTTTAGTCAATTACTACAATCACCTATGAGGTATTATCTCACTTTACAGAAAAGAAAAATGAGGCTCAAAGAGATTGTGATGGCTCAAGGTCACACAAACTAGTACTTAATTCTGGCCATATTTTAAGCAACAATGAGCTGAAAAGCCTCTTCAAGAGAATGGCAGCTAGCAAAGCAGAAATTAGAATAGGCAATTTATTTGAAAGCATAATCATTAAAGGTTTCTCATTTAGGCCGGGCGCGGTGGCTCACGCCTCTAGTCCCAGCACTTTGGGAGGCCGAGGCGGGCGGATCACCAGGTCAGGAGATCGAGACCATCCTGGCTAACACGGTGAAACTCCGTCTCTATAAAAATACAAAAAATCAGCCAGGCATGGTGGCGGGCGCCTGTAGTCCCAGCTTCTCGGGAGGCTGAGGCAGGAGAATGGTGTGAACCCGGATGGCGCAGCTTGTAGTGAGCCGAGATCGCGCCACTGTACTCCAGTCAGGGCTACGAGCCAGACTCCGTTTAAAAAGAAAATAATAAATCAATAATAAAAAATAATACTAAAGGTTTCTCATTTAGGAAAGGAACTTAGGTAGACTTTTCTTGTACTTTTCTTGATACTTGCTCGGTTTAATGTGAAATCCCACTACTTGTGAAAGGTTAGAAGGGACTGGTTATATAAGCAATAGAACAGCCTCACAATGGAATGCTATGTAGCATTAAAATGATAGTGTAGCAATGTCTACTGATAAGAAAAGCTGATCAGAATACATTACAAAAAAGCAGGCTACCAAACAGTATAAATAATATCTTCCCCATTTTGTAAAAACTAATTATCTGTAAGGTCTGTTAAGTGTAGACATCAAAATGTTAACAATGGTAATTTCCAGGTTGACAAGACAATGATTTTTATTTTTTGAGCTTATTCTATATGCTAATCTCAATACTGTTTTTCCTATAACGTATTACATGTGTAATAAAAATTAAACTTATTCATCAACTCAAATATTGTGTACATACTGCATATCAGGTACTATTTGTTTAAAAAAAGCGGGGAGGGAGAGGCGGAGCGGGAGGGAGACAGAGAGGGAGAGAGGGACAGAGGGACAGAGGGAGAGAGGGAGAGAGGGAGAGAGGGAGAGAGGGAGAGAGGGAGAGAGGGAGATGGAGAGTTGTAGAAACATTAAACCTGATTAAAATGGTCCTCCACTACCTCAAGTTGTTCTTTTTCATTGTTAAAACTGCTTTTCAATTTATACTTCTAGCCCCTTTGCCTCAAAAACAAAAGAAAATCTAGAGGCACTCTTATTTCTATTCTTTCTACCATGTCTGATGCTCATCATCTTTCACCGAGCATTCTGCAAGAGCCTCTTATCTACTTAGTCTCCCAGTTTCTGGGTCCAAATCAAACCCATTCCACCCTCAGTCCTATCCAGTGACCCATCCAAAACAGAAACCAGATCTTATTTCTGTACTCTAAAACCTTTCACTGACTTCTTACTGCCTCTGAGATAAAATCAAATTCTTCAGTATGGCACGCAAGGAGCTCCAATATCTGGCCCCTGTCTCTCCCTTATTTCATTTGGGAACACACCTTACCTCCAACAGCAGAGGTGGCTTCTCATACATACCGATCTTTTTCTTGCCAACAAGCCTTTTTTTAAGTTGTCCTTTCCACCTAGAATACCCTCTGACCCCATGCCCAATCTGTTAGTACTACCTTCAGGAAAAATCTTATGCACCTTGAAACCACATTGGATGACCCTATTCACATCTCTAACACTGTGCTTTTACATCATCTCATATTTATCTTAAAGTTCCTCTTACGTGAGACTATCAATTCCAAAAGAATGGGAACTAAGTCTTTTCCTTATCTGTAATATGAGGAAAAAGTAGTATCAACCTCAAAAATGGGATGTGGAATGTAGATATTTAACTCAGTGCTTGGCATACAGAAAACAGTTATCAAATGACTATCATTATTATCCACACTGTTACCTAGAGCTCAGCAGTGCATGACCTACAGTAAGACTTCAAATGTTTACTGAAAGACTGAACTCTGCAAAAAGGAATATTCCCATTTTACAACTGAAGAAACTGAGGAAGATTAATAGCACAAAGTCATAGAGCCACAAAAGGCAGTTGAGCTACCATCCAAACTCGAGTCTAACTCTTAAAAACCCTGAATTCATTCTCAACGAACATACACTATCTCCCTCTTGCTGAGAAATGACTTAACCTATTTTACTCCTAGAAAACAAACAAAACTAAGGCTTCTTTCCAGTATTACTTGTGTAACAGGCCCTGTTGTTATACTCGACATTTCTGGCATCTGCATTTTTAGATTAACATGAAGGAGTGTTTCAACTTCTCTGCAATTCAATTTCCTTGCCTACAATAAGATGTACTTGGATCTCAAACAGACCATTTAACCTCTAAAATCCTGTGGTTCTTTAACTGGGTGCAGTTATTTGCGGCACCGTTCTTTCAGAGTTAGTTTGATACCATTTATTTAGCCAGCATTTCCGATATGCAAAGCACACTGCAGTAAATCAAACATTGGTCACCCTTTTCCAGCCCTAAGGAAGTTCTCCGTAAGCCTTCACGAAGCAAGCCAGAGCTCTCCAGTATGCTGCAACCTAACAGCATCCAGGTCACTAGGCTTGAAATGCGAGGTGCCTCCTTCGGGGCGGGGGTCTTCGAAACTGATCTGGCCAGGGCAGGCCTAGATTCTACGCTACAGCGAAATAGCAAAAAAACAAAACAAAACAAAACAAAAACACATCACCAAGCAGCCCCTCTTTTCTGTCCTCCTCGACCAAACTAGGAGTACACTTCCCAGTCTGGCAGCCCTCCCTCGAGGCTTCTCACTCACGGTGGGGCTGCAGCGGCCTCCCTAAGAGGGCGAAGGCCGCAGTGTCCTTGCTGCCGCCTGCAGGCCCGTGCAGAGCCCAGGGCTCTCCTGCGCCCAAAACTAAGGGAGACACAGAGAGCAAGAGAAGGGCGGCAGCAGCGCCGGGCTCAGCGCGAGCCTCCTTACCCAGTGGGCGGTGAGGCCAGCCGCCCTGGCCCGGAGCGCCGCGGAGAAGAACATGGCGGGCCACACTGTTCACCTTTCCCCGGCCGCGCCAGGCGAGAATCCCGAGCGAGCCCAGGACGCACAGCGTGCGCGTTCCCGACCCCAGGCCTAGGCGTCCCGGGCTAATAATTGTGAAATCTATTTCAAGGATAATCGTAAATACAAACGCTTACTCTATGTCAGATTTCATGGTATAAACTTTACAAATCTACACTATAATTCATTTAATCCTCTCAGCAAGCCTACCAAGTAGGTATTATTATCTTATTTTACAGGTGAGAAAATTAAGGCTCAAAGAAGGGGGAAAAACTCTCCCTAGATCACACAGCTAAATACATGAAATGCCACATACAGATTTTCCTGACTTCAGTACATGCCTTAACCACTAAAATTTAAGTTTTGCTGTATTTTCAGATAGACATAGGAGGACTTTTGCAAACATCCTCCAAGTAAAATTCCATCAGTAACTTAGCTAAAAATGTTATTCAGGTTAAAACGTAAGTAATTTTTACCATACTATGAGAGAATTAACAAATGTAATTTGGCTAAATTTTATATTATAGAAAAGCTGCACGAACAGCCCAGGTATTACAGGCACTGTGCATTACAGATTAAGATAACAACATTAATGATTCCGGTCATCTTGACCATACATTAAAGAAAACATTCTTTAAAGATATAAAATCCCACATGGATACAAGCAACAACCAACTGTTCTAAGGACAAGAATAATTTCTAGAAATGAAACGCCCATCCAGTGGACCTGGGGTTCAGTCTCATCTCATGTACTTCACTGTCCTTGTATATGTAACTAG